GGGAAAGAGAGAAAGAGAGAGAGAGAGAGAGAGAGAGAGAGGTGGGGCAGGGTATGGATGGTGTAGGGACCACTGGTTTAAAAACCCCAAGTGTGTGAATAGGACAGAGTGGCCCAAACCCCAGAACAGATGTCTGTGTACTGTCTGTCATTGCTACTGTGTACAGACTAAATGGCAAGAGGACCCAGAGAACCTCTTTGGCACATACCATCCATAGCCTGGCAAGGAATTACCAGGCACTGGGCTCTGTCCCTACATACTTCCCGAGAGACCTTCTGTCAGTCTTCAGCGGGACAGAACTGCCTGGTCCTCAGTCGTCCCTTCTCTGTTGGCATCAGAATAGTAACAGAGAGGAGGCTGGGCAGGGATGGCTGTGTAGATTCCCATGGGTCCCTGCCTCATACTCTGTTGCTTGTGATGTATTTTCCTTCTGTAACATTCAACTACATTTATTTATGTAAATGCTCCCCGCCCGTGTGTGTGTGTGTGTGTGTGTGTGTGTGTGTGTGTGTGTTTATTTCTGTGTACCTGTATACAGGTGTGTGTACATAGCTGTGCATGTGGAGGCCAGATGACAGCCTTGGATGTTACCTTTAGGAAGGCCACCCACCTCCTTTGAGGTTCTTGTTGGCCTAGAGATCACCATTTATACTAGACCAGCTATCCATAGCACCCCAGGGACCTTCCTGTTTCCTTTTGCAAGCTGCCATGTTGACTTATTGTTCACACAGGTTCTGAGGATAGAAGTCAGGTCCTTGTGCTTTTGAGACAAGTGCTTCACCAACTGACTTATTTCCCCAGCCCTTTAACATTCAAATTTTAAAATTGGAGTGGGGTGGGTCCCTATACTCAGGTGTTGTTGTGTAGCCATGGAAACATCATCCCAGATATTCTTATGGACTGGACACATGGATTCCCTGCATATGGACAGCTCCAAGTCCCATGTGACTACTAGGAGCAGGGCCTTTTGGGAGGAAATCAGGGATATATGAGGTCACACAGTTGGGGCCCTGACCCTAGACACCAAGAATCTTTTAGATGTTCAGGATGATGGATGTATCCACAGGCAGGGAAGCCAGCTGGTCATCTTCTTGCATACCTGAGCACCCCAGTCTGTTCAGCCTCGCCATTCGAGGTAGTGGTTCCCAAACTGCTGAGATGTTCTCTCCAAACTCAAAAGGTCTAGATGGGGAAGACTGATTCATGTGACTCTTTGAAGATGAAAGACAGGCAGGCGCATGACCCACATGAGGAGCAGCCCAAGAGAGGGTCTCCACTTTGGGGGAGGTGTCCTACCTATCTATCTATCTGTCTGTCTGTCTATCTATCTCTCTATCATTTTTGAGATAGTCTTATGTATTGCAGGTTGGCCATGACTTTGCATTAAACAGTTGTGCACATGATGAGTGCACATGAATTGCTGACTGGTTGAATACACCTTCTGGGTTTTGGAACACCCAGGAATATATACTGATCTGTCCCCTGGATTTCAGATGGGTTGAAGAAAATACTTAGGCTCTAGAAAACATGAACTATCTGAGCTTCTGCTGGTGAAATTACACTTGTTTCTTCTAAAACATGAAATAAAATACCCCATTGACTTTCTCCATATGACTGACTGTAGTTCCTCCCCCAAAGAACTCAAGCTGAAGAAGAAATTCTTGGAGCAGACTCATTCCAGCCACAGTTGTACATCTTCCACGATGCCAGAACCCCCTCCTTAGAGGTCTGGCTATCCCCTTATCTGTGAGACCCTCACTGGCCTCAGGAGGATCCAGCAGCTGGCTGCAGCAATGCCCCTGCACAGGTGTGTGTCCTGGCTTTGATCAGGGTTTGCCTTGGAGTGGGTCAAAAGTTGCCTGAGGCCCTGAAGGAGACTGGTGAGAGGCCCCAGTGACTATGACACAGGCGGTCAGCCTGTGCTAAGCCCTGCTCACACCATCTGGTAGAAACCTCACTGCCACACTGCTCAGTCCAGGAAGATGTCCTTGCTATGCTTTGTTTCTTTGGTCCTGTTAAGTACCTGGAGTCAGGCTCCCAAGGTTCCCATTTATCCATTCATCTACCAGTCCATCTTTATAGCCATTTGTCCACCCATCATCTGTCTTTTTATCCATGGATATGGTGGGAATTGGAAGGAAGAAGCCACAGATTTTTGTCACAGAAAAGGGAAAATTTTCAAACCAAGCCACTTAGAATGGAGCCATTATGAAAGAACAGAGGTTCTGTGATAGGACCAAAATACTTACCTGACCTTCCCCTCTTCCTCCCATCCATCATATCTACTCACTGACACATCCATCTACCCACCAGTCATCCATCTACTCATGCATCCACCAGCTTGTCCATCCACCCATTCATTCATCCATCCACCTATCTGCTCATCTACCCATTTACTTATCTGTCTCTCCACCTACCAACTCATCAATCTAGTCATCCTTATATCCATCTACTTAACCACTCATCCATCCATCCATCCATCCATCCATCCATCCATCCACTCATCATCTATCCATTTTTTCATTCTTATATATACTATCATTATATATATACCCATCTGTATATATACCCATCTATCTATTAATCTATCCATGCATCTATCCATCAAACTAATTACTCATTCATCCATCTACCCACAAACCCATTCATCCACCCATCCATACTTAGAACCACCCTCCCACCTAACCATCATTATTCTCTGGCTACCCAATGGGCCAGGCCTTGTACTCTTTGCTGGGACATAAAATTCACTGTAGTGTGGGGTGTTCCTGGTAGAGTTAATAGCTGGGCCTGGACAACCTGGAATTGTGTCGCTGGAACTGGCACTTAGCAGAGCCAGGAAGTTATCTGAATAAGTAACAGCTATTTCTGGCATGGTATGACTGTCATCTGAATTACAATGACCAGCATGGTGGCTGGTATAGCTGCAGCTCAGGGAAGAGTAGGGGACTGGGAGGGGGCGGGGAGCAAAATAGGGTTGCTGCTGTCATGGAAGGACCTCAGCCAAGAGGCTGAGATACAAGGGGTGAGGGAGTGGACTCTGAGCCCAGAGCTGGCTAGGTTATGGAATAGACCATGCTTCTCCAGCAGGATTGGATAGAGGAGTTTGGTGGGTCATGGGGTCTCAGATGAATGCCAGATGGGACACTAAAAATAACCAAATATGTCATTTTTTTAATGCTAAATCAGATAGAATCTTCAGCTAGATTCCCGGACAGGCAAGTTACATCAAGTACTAACCATCTGAAAACAAGCCTGGGGCTGGAGCAGTCTGAGAGGGAAGGACATGCCACCCAGAGGTCCCCAGGCCTGTGGTGTGGGGACAAGGCCTCTATTGTGAGGCTCATGAGGAAGTGCCCCTGCACACCACTTGCAGAGGGACAGGGGAGGGGTAGAGGTCCAGGGAGGCCCCCTCTCCAGGACGAAGCCTGGGTTTGTTGGATTAACAGGCAGACTTGTTTGGATGCAATGTGCAAGGCTGGCGAGGGATAGGGGTGTTTCTGAGTATGGAGCAGGCATCTGGGGGCATGCTCACATGGGGGGTAGCTTCTTGGGGATCCACTATGCAGAGCCGAAGACTCTGGGCTGCTGTTTCCCAGGGGGGGCATTCCACTGAACTCCTGCTTGATAATTTCTCTATTCGAAAGGGTTCCAGGACAGCTAAGTTTGAACACCATGAAACCAATTCCCCAGGATGCTGGGAGGACTGTGGCTCTCTGGGCAACTGGCCACTGTGAGTCCATGTTTACTGATCCTAGTGCTGGCATAATGAGGCCAGGTGCCTTCAACAACCATAGGGGCCAGGGTGACCCCATAAGATGGGTTCCCTGGAAGCCAGTGTGGGAGAGGAGGGTGGAGAGGAAGAGGAAGAGGCAGGCTCCAAAGAGGTATCTTCCATTGTGTAGTCAGGTACCTGTCAAGGGCTGGGTAAAGTGACTGCAGGAAGGAAACAGAGAGCCCCCAGGCCACTCATCCCTCCCAGCCCTGCCTCCCACTCTGCATTCATACACTTACTTTCCTGTCGTTGAACTCAACGTTGTCACCCTCATAGTCTCCCTGTGAATGGAAGCAAGAGTAAGTTCTGACTGTGCCACAAAGCATGAGGCTGACCAGGAGTCCCTCCTCCCATGGTCAGGGTTGTGTGAGCCCCAACTCCCATGGTGAGAGCTGTATGATCCCCTCTTCCCATGGTCAGGATTGTGTGAGCCCCTCTTCCCATGATCAGGACTGTGTGAGACCTAACTCCCACGGTCAGGACTGTGTGAGACTTAACTCCCATGGTCAGGACTGTGTGAGACCTAACTCCCACGGTCAGGACTGTGTGAGACCCAACTCCCATGGTCAGGACTGTGTGAGTCCCTCTTCCTATGGTCAGGGCTGTATGAGCCCTAACTCCCACGGTCAGAGCTGTGTGAGCCCCTCTTCCTATGGTCAGGGCTGTATGAGCCCCAACTCCCATGATCAGGGCTGTATGAGCCCCAACTCCCATGGTCAGGGCTGTGTGAGTCCTAACTCCCATGGTCAGAGCTGTGTGAGCCCCTCTTCCTATGGTCAGGGCTATGTGATTCCTGCTGGCCACTTGGCCTCTGACACCAGACTCCTCAAGCTTTGTCTCCCCTTGAAACCGAGTAGGATCTAAGAGGAGACCCATGGCATGGCTTTGAAGTTGGCAGGACTAAAGAATGGGATCTTTGAGGGAAAAGAAAGCCTTCTGCCAACAAGAACATGTGGAGTGCTCTGTGATGTCCCCAGAGCACTCTCTAGGCTTCCACTGTCAGGTGTCCCACAGTAAATCACATACATTCTGAATATCTAGATGCCTGAGCCTGACATGCCTAGAGGCCCAGAGATGCAGCCTGACACACAGCTAAGTGGTTGTCAGACCTGGACTCGGAACCAGATCTCTAAAAACAAAGGAAAAGAGGATCCAAAAGTTGAAAGTGAGCCCCAAAACAACTAAGGGGGAACAGCAAGAGAGTGGCTCTTCACAGCAATCCCCACTACATGCAGCTGGCCTGAGCCAACCACTTGCTTTTGCTAGTCATTAGACAGATACAGTGTGATTTCTTAAGAGTCAGCCAAAGACCACCCTCTCCCCTCCACTGGTCAGCAACATTTGCAGCATCTGCCACCCCCTGTCAGGTGGGGAAGATCTGGCCATGTCCACAAGCAAGTGGCCCACTGTTGAGGTCTGAAGACAGTAGGCCCAGCTTCCTTCTGGACTCCAGAGGCCTCTCTCCCACTCAGGCTCAGGTCCTTTGGGTGTTTTCATGAAAATGTCTCACAGTTCCAGTATGGATTCATTCATACCAGAGGCTTGCTTGTGGTTACCTGAAGGCAGGCAGATGCCAACCCGGAAGGAAGCTGAGAAGCCACCAAGCAGCCAATATAAATGTCACCAGTCTTTCCGTGCAGGTGATACCTCTGATTACTGGAGACCTCCCCAGGGTCTCACTCAGAACAGGTGGCTCTTAGTACACAAATACCAAGGTGGTGACAGTGCCCCACATCCACCTACAGATATTAGGTGAAGGAAAGAACAGTTCACAGGAATAGGGAGAGGGTGAGGATGCTCCAGGCCAGGAATGAAGATAGGGGCATGGGTGAAGGACAGGAGACAGATGCAGAATATATAAGCAAGCACCAAGCACTGTACAGTGAGCACAGCCACAATCCCTCTCTGGTCCAGTCTCACCAACCCTCCATCTGTGTCCTCTTTAAGGGCACTAGGCAGACCTGGCTCACTTCACAGCGAGTTACTTCCCCTAGAATTATTTTGTGTTTTGCTTACTTGTTTTTTTGTTTTGTTTTTGAGACAGGGTTTCTTTGTACATCCTTGGCTGTCCTAGAACTCGCTCTGCAAACCAGGCTGGCCTTGAACTCACAGAGATCCACCTGCCTCTCTCTGCCTCCCAAGTGTCGGGATTAAAGGTGTGCTTCTTTTGTATTTTGCAACAAGGTTTCACTATACAGCTCAGGTTGGTCTCAAGCTCACCATCCTGCTTCAGCCTCCTGAGTGATGAAATGGCAGATATGTGACATCACTCCTAGTTCCCCTAGCTGTTTCAGTGTGAGCTTGGTACTTAATGGGATGGATGTTCTTTGATGGTTTGCAAAGTTTACCGGTAGAAAGTTCCTTATTATCCAGAGGTCTGGGCTGTTTCCAGGCTGTGTGCTCCTGGGCAAACTGCCTGAGTTCCACAAGCCTCTGTTTCCCCATCCTTAATGTGGGAAGTGAGTCTACCCCATAGGCTTTCACAGCGCTGCAGCAGGTCTGTTTGGCAACGATGGAGTATTTGACCTTCAGGGAAGTAAGACACAGGGTTCCACTAGGGACACACAGCAGGGTGCCAATTACGGGTGGTCTTTATTCTTAGTTCCTCACAGGGATTCTGTGGCTTTAGGCAAGTTAATAAACCTCTTTGAATCTGTGTCTTCACTGGGTTAAATGATATAAAGCTTCCACTGTAAGCAGTGCTTGGCAAGTAGTGAGTTCTCAGAAATGTTTTTCCAGTCCTTTCCCTTTAATATTTAAAGGGCCAGCTCAAAGCAGACCGGGGCTTAGAAACTCTTTAGCTCCTAGGTCCCAGCTATACCAGGGAAGGCAGGGCAGAGCTAGGCTAGGCAAGGCTATATCCTGGAGCCCAATGAGGCTATATCCTGCAGAAAAGGGGGCTTAAGAGTGGAACAGGGACTTCATGGGAGGGACCAGGAGTATTGTCAGGTCCTCCCCTGGAAATACTGAGGAGGAGGCCAGAGAGCTAAAGTCCCACTAACACACACACACACACACACACACACACACACACACACACACACACACACACCACTGTGGCCAGACAGCCATTTCCTTGGGGGATAAGGGGTAATGGAAGGCCAGTGAAGGGAGGAAGAAACCAAGAGTGCTGGAGAGGAAAGGCAGGAAGCCACTAGCTAGCAGGCACTTAGGACCAACTGCCCCCAAATCCCTGGCTCCAGTGGGGTGGGAAGGGAAGATGAGGGGATAGATAAGCCCAGCATGGCTCTCCCTCATGGTCTCCCATATAGTCCACTGCCCTTCATCAATTTTGTTTCCTCCTAAAAGTGGCTTCTTGTCTGTGACTGCTCTGACAGTCACATCTGTCCTGCCGTTAGACAGGCATTAGTCCTACTAGGACACAAAGTCTCTGAATGAGAGACCAGCATGGGATCTGTGTTTGCCAACCCTCAAGTCTGTCCTCATTCCCTGCTCTGGGTTCCTGGTCTCTGCTACACTCACTTTTGTCAAGCCCGAGGGAGCCTCTGCTGAGGCTCACACACTACTAAGGCCCCACAGTCTAATGCCTGTATCCATGAAGACAATAAGGACACAATCTTGCTCCATCTCTTCACCCCTGGCCATAGCAAAAGCTAAATTTGTCAAAGAGAGGCCAGCTGGAGTTGGACACTCAACCCAGGAAGCTGGCCATTCACTGTATACAGAGCCCTGGTGAGTGCCAGAGCCTGGGGCAGCAAAGCCGGAGCCAGGGCAAACACCCTGTGGATCAGCTGGCTGCGAGGTATGGAGGAAGCCAGCCGGGCGTCTCCCACAGTCGCTCTTGTTTCCATGGGATTGTTCTGCCAGCCAAGACAGTTCTGTGTGTGACTTTTCCAGCTCCCTCTGAGGGGAATAGAGAAGGCCACGCAGGAAGTTGTGACCACAGGATAACTGGAGCTCCCAAGAGGGGTAGCCCTTGAAGACTGGGGGGTATCAAGTGACGCAGACATTAACCATGTGTGAAGGTTACTTACATCATGCAGAGGGTACGCGGCTGAGTATACACCGTTGGCCAGAAGGCTGGTGATGCCTTAAAAACAGAGGTAGACAGAAGTTAAGGACCAGCAGGCCTGCTGCCCCACATCTGGAAGTCAGAGCCGTCACAGGGTGCTCCAGTTCATAGGGATTCTGCTCAAAGCCAGATGAACCAGGCTACCAAGAGCCCAGTCACCATCTTGGGGTTCTTCCCCAGGTAGAACGCAGCAGGGCGAGTTAGCTATCCACTAGAGATGATTTCAACATGCTTGATTGGTAGTGTTAGGAAGACTTTTTTGCAGAGCACACCCCAAGAGGAAGTCTGTCCCTGAGGAAGGAGGCAGGAACAGTTCAGTCACCCCCAAACCTCGGACTTGCTAGCTACCCCCACCGGCCTGAGGGAGAGCCTGCAGATGGAAAGATGGCCTCTGAGCGGTCAGAGAAGCTGATCATGAGAAGATGGGCGGATGGGAAATTGATGGTGTCAGGAAACACACATACAATTTGGAATTAGCTTGTAAGTTGATGGGAGAAGCGGAAGAGGAGGCCCCGCTCTTACCGTATTTCCCACACTTCCGCCGTTTACTTAGAAGGGCAGAGTCCTTCCTTCTTCCCTCTCCTTGCCCTGTTTACACATTGGCTATTAGTTAAACAGAAGGGCCTGGAAGGGCCAAAGCTACATTTTGGGGAGAGAAAGCTGGTGGAGGGAAGGGGTTCACAGTCAAGTGCTCAGGGCAGAAGGAAGATGGCTGAGCCCTTGTTGGCTGGGCTCAGAGCCCACACTAGCATAGGAGAAATAAGAACAGCCACATCTATACCTGTCTACTGGCAGGGATACTGTTCCTGACTCCAGAACCTGTTACTAAAGAGGAAGAGGAGAGCAGACCCCGGGCATGGAGGAGGGGATCCTGGGAAACTGCTCTGGTCTTCACACTCAGGACCAATGTCTTGGTCCTCTCCCCCCACCCCACTCCCGACCTTCAACTGCTGCCCCAGAACCCCCTGCCTGGCAGAGTGGCTTTCTTGGTGACCTCTGTGTGCCAACTTTTCTCAGCAGCCTGGAAGCTGATTATGTGCAACATGGCTCGACAACATTTGAAAAATAACCTAAACAAGGCCCATCTCCTTGGACAGTGACCTGGAATAGCCAGGCACCCTGAGGGACCCTTAGGAATCACAACCAGAGGTGGCCAGAACACGTGGCTGAAGCCACGCTCACAAGTGGAAAGTTCACCTCACATCAAAAATGTATGTGTGGCTGGATCCTGGCCTGTGGCCTCCTCACCCTTCCTAGGATGCAACCAGGGTGGAGTTGCCACAGGGCCCTTGCTTGGGTTTGTGTGGCAGGCTTACAACCCTCTTTCTTCAAGCCTTCTGCCCTCACTTGAGAGGCCTCTACTGACCATGGCTCCTAGTCACTCAAGCTTCCCCAGTCCCATTTCTGTGAGACTGCAGTCTAGTTTATCTGTTTCCTTACCCTAGAACACAAGTACCTGAGAGCAGCCCGGGTACTTGTGACAGACAGGGACAGGCAGGAGCCCATCACTAGTCCATGGAGGGTCACCAAGTGACTTTGTTGATCAGTAGAGCTCCCAATCCAGGTGCCACCATGAAGTGAGATTACAAAGGCACCCTGATCTCTCTCTTCCATGCAGAGGCAGGGAAACCAGGGAAGTAAAAAAGTGGGGGGGGGGTAGAAACCAACCCAGCCCCTTTCTCAGGGTCAAGCCAGAATAGGAGTCAGCTCCCGTCCAGCCATGTTCTATCTTCATGGAAGCCACACTCATTTCTATGGACAGGACCCGATGATGCCTGGACTGGAGGCTTGCACCCTTTCTACTTCTTACTAGGTCTTGTCCCAGCTGTGCTCTGACAGTGGTGACTTGAACAAGCGCCTGAGTTTGCTTCCTCCTCCACGCACCCAGGGTATAAGACATGCTCATTCTGGAGGTCGGCACTGTCTGAAGGGGCCAGGCCAATGGGAACAGAGCTCCTGGGTTCCTGGCTGATGAACTAACTCCAGTGAACCAAGATATGGGCTTGGGCATCTCAGAATGTCCCTGTGGCCAACTGTGGGCCACACTAGTAAGGCTACAAACAGTCTCTGAGTCCTGGAAGAAACCTCCCTGTAGCCTGGCCTATCTCAGCCACATCACACAGCAGCTGACAACATGGCCACTGTTTTCCTTAGGCTGCTATTTCCAATGGCTCAGAACTGGGCTGTGGTCCCCAAGGGACGCCCCTGTCATTCTTTCCTGCTGGATTTATAATCAAAGAGAGGTTGGACCCCTTTGTCTGCTTCTTTTCCATGGTTTAGGGTCTCTCTGTAGGAAGCTGTCCTTGTATCAACAAACACCTTCAGCCAAGGGAACAGCACTTCTGTGTGCAAAGTGCCTAGCTATAAATCCACTGGGAACAGGACTCTGGCAAGGCTTTCCTGCCAGTTTCCCAGCCCTTTCTTTTGAAGCAACATAGGCTTAAATCAAATCCTTTGAGGAAGCCCCAAGCCAGATGCCCACCTCCCACTGAGAGGGCTCAGAGGGAAGATGGCCACTCAGAAACTGTCACTCTCCTTAAGGCCACAGAGTATCCTTACCCATGCTGTACTTGGCCTTTGTGCAAGTTGTTCTCTTCAGAATTTCATAGACCTAGTGCAGAGGGAGGGACAAAAAGGGGGAGTTATTACTCTGCTGCTCTACCAGTCAAAAGCCACAGACACAGGGCACCAGGAGGGTCCTGGGCTTGGGACTCTAGCAGGGGATTCCCAGGGGTAAGTAAAAGAGGAGTCACAGAGAGTCCCTATCCTTCACTTCCTGGAACAGGACTGATCCTACTGGCCTCACAAGGTGCCAGCCATGTGCAGGGGGCACCTTCCTAGGAACTAATGGGATGGGAGCAGTGTGGGAGCAGAGTAGCCATCTCGCTGCCCTGCGGCTGCTCCCTTCCCTTTTGTGGAGGCAAGAGCAGGAGCAGAGAGCCTGCATGCAGCCATCTGTATGCGTTAGAAACCCAGAGGAGGGCCCAGTGTGGTGGTGGATTTCAAGACTCCTACCACACTGGGCACCAGGAAACAAGCCCCCATGAAGGGACCACATCCCTCCTCACATCTCTTTGACTAATGAGATATTTTGCTTGGTGGTCTCAGGAGCGCTGGCCGTGGAGTCTTGTTTGCCTGGGGCTGAGTTAGGAGAGCTTGTGCAAATTGCACCACCCCCATGCCTCAATTTAACTCTTTGAAAAATAGGCTTGGAATAAACAGCCATAATCTAATTAGTTTCATTTCATTTTTGAGACAGGGTTTCATGTAGCCCAGGATGGGCTCAAACATATTTATTGTCAAGGAAAACTTTAAACTTTTGCTCTTCTTGTCTTCCTCTCCTAAGTGCTGGGATTGCAGGTGTGCACCACACGCCTGGTTTACCAGGTGCTGGGGATCGAACCCAAGGCTGCCTATCATCTAGGCAAGCACTCTACCCACTAAGCCACAGAGGTAGTTTTGTGCATGATCTACAGGTGAGGGTTTCTGAGCATGTTGATTTGCCCCTCAAACTGTTTGCTGTGTTCACTCAGGCAAGACCAAGGTCCCTCCATTGGCCTCTAAGCCTGCACTTTCTGGCTCTGCCATTACATCCTTGTCTCCTATGTCAGCAGCCTCAGCCTCTTGCTCTGAGTCCCCTCCTGCAGCCTCTGTTAGAAGCACCCATCCCTGCAGTTTTAACTAGTCCCAGGGTCACATCAACAGGTCTCTAAGGCAGCTCTGGCCCAATCCTGTATTGTCACTCTACTCTCCTTCACCATCTGCCCTGTGATCGATGCTCTCAACACTTCTCCCCTCCCTACAGGAGAAAGCATACTGTAAGTGCTTAATAAATCCCTGCTCAATTGTTCTCCAGGACTCTCTCTGTCACTCTCTACAAGTAGCTGGTAAACTTGACGTTCTGCTTATTCCATAAACACCTTCCCCTCCTTTCCACTCATGCAGTCATGACAACCACCATACACCTCGACCACCCATGATCCTACATCCATCCATCACCACCAGTGACCACCTCCACCTGTGACCTCACCTCCACCTCCACCTGTGACCTCACATCCACCTCCACCTGTGACCTCACATGCACCTCCACCTGTGACCTCACCTCCACCTCCACCATGTGACCTCACCTCCATCTCCACCTGTGACCTCACCTCTCTCCACCTGTGTGACCTCACCTCCACCTCCACCTGTGACCTCACCTCCATCTCCACCTGTGACCTCACATCCACCTCCACCTGTGACCTCACCTCCACCTCCACCATGTGACCTCACCTCCATCTCCACCTGTGACCTCACCTCCATCTCCACCTGTGACCTCACCTCCACCTTTCTGCACCATGTGACCTCACATCCATCCATCTTTCTGCATCATGTGACTACATACACACCTTTCACCCACTCTTCACAGCCAACCCCTGGGAGTGAGCCTCGCCTGACAACCTTTTATGGTTCCCCACTGCCTACAGACCCACTGTCTAAGATTCCAGTGAGCACAATGGGCTCTTGTCTCTTTGAAGCTGCTGGTCTCTGACTCCAAATAGCTTGTACATGGAGCTACCCCAGTGCCAGGAGAGATGTGGTCAGTGTGGAGAGAGAGGCTGTCACACTTGCGCCTAAACACAAGATGAGACCTGACCAGCCATGTGCAGATCCGTGAATCCGCCAATCCCTTTGGAGCACAGAGGTGGTCTACACACTGTCTTTGAGGATCTCTGGGAAGCAGTTTGCTCCTTCCTCCAGCAGCAAACAGTCATGGCTTTCCACATCTGTTGTCCCCAGTGCAATGGCTCTCTGTGACCTCACCTCCATGGCTCGGTAGAAGTAGCAGCATTCACCCAGGGGAACCTCAGACTAAATAGTATCACAACTAACCACCAGGAAGAGGTGTCAGAATTGTTCACAGCCCCTCCCACTTCAGTCATCTCCCCACAGCAAAAGTTCTAGAGGCATCTGACACCCCGGAAAATGTGCAAAGCACACACACACACACACACACACACACACACACACACACACACACACGCCCCACACACACACACCCAGAGAGTATGGGCACATAACTGTTACAGTGATATGGGAGAGACACTGTGCAGGTCACGCTCTGGGGGTTCTCCCAAGAGACAGACATCCAAGAGGCCAGCCCCAACTCTTGGAGGCCAAGAAGGGATATGGCTGCTCCTCAAATACACCAGTCCCAATTCCACCAGAAGCCATGCTTTTGAGCAAGTTCTTTGTTGCTTATTATCATGAAATTGAACTGTCAAAATTAATCAATAGTGGGCAGGCCACATGGCTCCTCAGGTAAAGGTTCTTGCTGCCCAGTTTGACCCTCTGAGTTCAATCCCCAGAGGAGAGAATCATCTCCCTCTGGTTGTCCCCTGACCTCTACCACATGCACCATGGTACGTGTACTCACCGCCCCTGATAAGTTAACAAATATGCAAAAAGTTAAATTAATAACACCAATGATAACAGGACCACACTGTGCCAAGGGACTGTCCTGATGGGGGTGCTACCCTGCTACTGCGGCTGGGTAGGGTAGGGGGCAGGCAAACCAAAATCAGTCTTGTTCTGACACAGGCTTGGGAACCCTCCTTCAGGCACAGGTAAGGGAAGAGGCAGCAGATGGAAACATCTGCCTGTCCTGGGCCTGAGTCTCCTTCACCAAAAGGACCTGTGCAACCCTCCTGCAGGGTGGTGGCTGCGAGGAGAGTTCCCTGCTCTAGGCAAACAGGCAGCCTTCCCTCAGCCTTTGCTCTGACCCACCCAGGCTGGATGCTCTCAGCAGAAGAGAACAGAGTAGGCCTTAGCCGCCAGGCGGATTTCTTGTTTAGATAGAAATTGGGTCCTGTGCCACGCACAGTCCCAGCTTGGCTGGCAGTCAAATTGGCAGCTGAAGGATAAACACTAAGCCGGTGCCCTGAGTAGGGCAGGTGGCCTGCATGGTCAGATTGCAACCTAGGCTGGCTGTACTAGCAAAGGCCTTTGGATGTTATCCTAATACACGTGTGCCTCGGCTGGGCTGCCTGGCCTGCTCAGACATCCTCAGCCAAGTCCCTTGCAAACTCTACCAGGATGGAGTGACCAGGGGGCTCTTCAGGCTTGGAGCTTGGCCTGGAGGTCCCCTCCCCCAGCTTCCTGCAGCTTAGTTCTTTCTCACGCTCCTCCTCCAAATTGAGCAGCCAGGGCCTCCCTCCCCTGGGCCACCCACTGCCCTCCTGATTCATTATTCTAATTATTTTTGTCACAGGCAATTAGAGCCGGCTTCCACCCTGAGGAGTTTCAGAGAAATGAAATGATCACTGGGGTCCCCAGGGCACCCTCTGATGAGGCAATTCCAGGACGCCTACTCACTATTGTGCTCCGTGTTTTGCTGTCGAAAAAAGAGTCCCTGTCAGTCAGGTCGAATCTGCAGGAACAGAAGGAGACAAGGCGACTGCTGTAGGCTCCAAGCCTGGGAACTCACCCTCTCTCCAATAACAGAGACCATGAAGGGCCTAACTATCCTCATAACAGGCACAAGTCCCCCTGTCCCTGGGCATGGCCTTAGCTGATCTTATCAGCCCAGTGTGGGAGGCTGAGAAGGTAACTGAGGATACCCCCAACTCCAGTTTGTTGTTTTGCTTTGTTGGAGAAAAAGTCTCACGTAGCCCAGGCTAGTCTCCAACTGGCTGTGTAGATGAGGATGGCCTGGAATGCCTCGTCTTCCTGCCTCCACCTCCTTAACACTAGGATGGAAGGTATGTGTGACCATGCTCGACCAAGCCTGGTTTTGATGAAATAAAATCCCAGAAGGCAATCTTTCAAGCTCCTGTTTTGGTGTCAAGGGGACAGGGACAGTGTCATTCCTTTATATGATGGTTTTGGCTTTGAGGACAATCTCCTTGGAAATGGTTTGCATCCAGGTGTTCTGGGCCATACATATTGCCTGAGGTTTCTGGGGCACGGGAATAGCTCTAAAGTCACCATTCCCTGGGGCGCTTAGTAAAGAAGAGGATGGAATGAGCTGGGTTTGGACAACGGGTGTGGCCCCCTCATGCCCCTGAGCTGGCAGAGGCCACTGTGTGTCCAGTCTACCAAAGACTGGCCAGTGTAGTCAGGGCAGCACATGGCTCCCCTGAAGCCACCACCATCTTTGCAAAGCAGAGACCTCTGTTCTGAGCTAAAATGTGGATGCACACTCCTTGCCCCCTGGTCATCCTCAAGGCCACAGCACCCCAAAGCCCCCTTCTCCTGGGCCTTGCCATACAAACTGCTTGAGCTCCTGGTACATAAGTCTTTTTTCCCACTTCTGCCAGTGAGGCCAGGCTTGGGGAGGCCTTGCAACTGCTGCACCTGAGCCAGGTGGCTATGTACCACTGTCCCTTGGGAACAGGGAGGATGGAAGGTTCCAGAACAGACTCAGCACTGCCAGGCAACACACTGCTGGCTGTGGATCTCCAGGGCCTTGGGACTCCCTTGAGGGAGGCTTCTTGATTCATCGATTGTGCCTCACCAGCTGCTCCAGGGGCTGCTGAGGGTTTGTGACAAGGAACCATGCTCAGAGGGACAAAGCTAGAGTTGGGTAGCCTAGCCCTTTGTTCTAACCAGAGCCCAGTCAGTTTTCCCTAAGCATTACCAAGCCAGGCCAGGCTCCTCAATCCCTTTCCTCTGTGACCAGGGCCCTTAGAAGTTGCTGCCTCAGCCTCTTCTGGCCTCAACAGTTACAAAGTACTTCTAAGAACACGTTCCCCTGTACTCCTGACTCACAGGTGCTGCTTCTCCCGGGAGAAGGGGTAGGAGAGCCTCTTTGTGGCCTGCGGTCTGTGCTCAGCCACCTTGGGCTGGATGGGGTCTGTGATCTTCTGCAGGACCGAGTTGATGGTTTTCAGGAGGCCTCGGGTCTCACTGATGTGGTACACCTGTGGGCAAGACCAGGCCGGGACATGAGCCACTCTACTGAGCTCTGGCTCTTGTGACAGCTGGTTAGTATTTCCTGTCAGCTCGATATAATTTAGAATCACCACGAAAACAAGCCTGTGGATGTGTCTGTGAGGAAGTTTCTAGACTGGGTTAACTGAGGTGGAAGATCCACGATGCACGTGGATGGCATCATCCCATGGGCTGGGGTCCCAGACCGCATACAAAGAGTGAGCTGAGAACCAGCCTTCGTCTCTGCTACTTGATTATGGATGCAACATGACTAGCTCTCTCCCTCTTCTGCTCCCTGCCTTCCACACGGTTATAGCCTGTATCTCCCTAAACTGTGAGGCAAATCAATCCTTTCTTCATTAAGCTGCTTTTGTTAGGGTAATGTGTAAAGTGACAAAATCATCTTATTCTCAGAGGGTCAAAAAAATACCCCAGGTTGGTAGAGTCCTTCCTGGGAACAGAGCATCCAGGTAGCCAGTGTGCCCACTATCTGCTGTTTCATGCTTACCCAAAGAACCCAGCATCTTAGGAGAGTTGGGCCAAGAGATCAGTTATAACACATTCTAGAAAACATTTGCCCCGAATGTCTCTTTTGTTTCCAAAGCTGTAATCCAAGTGGCTTCAGTGGATCTGAGAGGCCGCATTGGACTTCTCCCTTCCACCCACACACATAAATACAGACTCTCAGCCCAGCTTCTCTGGCAGGCTGCTCTTCAGCCATAAAGTTTTCAGAGATTAAAAGGAAAAATCCCAGCAAGCTAGAAAATGTAATTAAATTGAATCTGATAAATTATCTGAGACCCCACATGCATCAAAGCAAGGCCTCAAGCTGAACTGTATTTGTTCAGGTCAAATTCCTGGGACAGAGCAGGCAGCTTTTCTGCCTGGACTTTCTCCTGGTGTCCTGGGGCAGGGGGTGGTTTTAGGTGTTGCTCTTTGCTTTTTTAAGATTGTGTGTGTGCCTGTGTGTTAACATGTGTTTACATGTGTGCCTGTGTGTACCTGCAAAGGCCAGAAGAGGGCGCTGAATCCCCGGCAACTGACATCACTGGCAGTTGTGAGCTGCCCTATGTGGTCCTGGGATCTGAACTCTAGTCCTCTTAAAAGAGGAGCTTTAATTGCTACGGTATCTATCTAGCCCTGGCCTAGAGTCTCTAAAGACCACCAGGGCAGGGTCAGATGCTTCACGGTGGATAGGAACTACCCCCGTGTCCGCATCCCCTCTTGCCTTTTCTATGTGATTAGGAGCTTGCGGTGATGATTCTGCTTCGGCTGCCCTCAGACCAACACTAGTGTTTTGTAATATAAACATCACCACCCACCTTCTTCGTGGGCATCTTCAGTTTCAAAAACTCAGCCTCCCTGCAGAGCACATGCCAGGGTGCATGGATCTTCACGAATCCGACACCATGGATTTTGGTCTACAGAGAGAAAAAGGGCTATTGGTCAGGCTTTTTGGCAGCTGGGACCCCTTTTCATCTTGGTACCCAGTTGTGACTGATGAGGTGTGGCTGCCTTTACCTGGCACGTGCCCCATTCTGACAATACACACCATGGCTAAGGACCTCTCTCTCTGTCTCTGTCTCTGTCTCTGTCTCTGTCTCTCTCTCTCT